TATTAAAATATGTTCATTTTGTTGCACAATAGATCTCCAGAACCTTTCCATCTTGCCAGGCCAATACTCTACTCCATTAAACAACTCCTCTCTTCCCTTTCCCCAGCCCCTCACAGCCACCTTTCTCCTTTGGGTCTCTGAATTATACAGTATTTGCCTTTTTGTGACTGGCTTCTTCCACTTACATTACTGTCCTCAGGGTTCACAGGAAAAAAAAATTCTTTTTAAGATTGTTTTATTTATTTATTTATTTATTTTACATTTTTTTAACTGTAATAATTGCCAGTTTTATTCCTTTGGCTAAGAGAGTCAGAGGTAATTTGAGGTTTACAATTCTTTTTTATAGTTCTTTCGTCAAGAGGTTAGGTGCCCCCATTGCCCTTATAACCTGGTTGCAAATTATTTTAATTGTTAAAAAAATCCCTTTTTGTGTGTGACCTGTGTTCATTTAAAAATACATAAGTGGAAAGTAAAAAAAGAAAAGAAAAGAAAAGAAACTTCAAACCACACAGAAATTAAACATGGTTAAGTTTTTGAAATATGTATATATGTAGACACACACAATTTGGAATTTTATCCTACATATGTGAGCTGATACTAAATATGTTGCTTCATAATCTATTATGTTTTACATTACATTATGGAATGAATATATTTCCATGCATATGTGTAAAACTTCCCAATTGAAAAAAAACGGACCTGGAAAATGTACCAAAATCCAAAATCCAACAAGTTGCTGGTAACAAGGAAACTACCTAAAACAAAATTCCACCAGATAATTAAAAGTAAAATTAAGGTCAAAGATATACCAGAAAATGCTAACAGAAAGAAAGCAGGGGCCAGATTTTAGTATCAGACAAAAAGGAACTCAAGGCCTAAAGCACACTGGATAAAGGACGGCTGCGTGAATGTCTTTGCTTCCAATGCACCATCACGAACTTGTTTCTCACTCTTCTTATCTCTTCCCTAAGCCTTCCCAACTCGTCTACTCCTCTCATCATTTCTTCAGGGTCCAAATACCTAACGGGAGTGTCCTCTTTCAATCCCTGGCTGGGCTGAGTTGGCCCTGCTCTAAGGTTTCCTTCTGCTTCCTGGTTTACACCTTCTTCTTCGAAAGGCTGAGGGCTTCCTTCTGCCTCTTGTGGTACATTTTCTAAAGGGCGATCTTCCTCTACCTTGGGCATGTTCTGTGGTTTTCCTTCACCTTCACACGATTTTTGCATGTTGACTATTTTTTTATTATTTCCTTTTGGAATAAATTAGTCCTGCAGGGATCCAGGGGATGTTCTTCCCTCTTCCCTCACCTTGATTTGTGTCGTGCCCAAAAGACCCAGAGTCCTGAAAGGATCCGGGGTACTTTTCTCCTCCAGCAACAGAGAGCTGCAGAAATTCCTTCCATTTTTAAGGTTGACTAATATTCTGGGTATGCATCTACTCCCCCTAACCCCCTCCCTTGTTTTATCATTCCTCTGTGGAGAGAAGTGTGGGTTAGTTGCACCTTTTGGCTCTTGTGAATAATGCTGGTGAGATTCTGGGTCTACAAATACCTCTGCAAGTCTGTATTTTCATTTTTGGGGGGTACATACTCAAAAATGGAATTCCTAAATCATATGATAATTCTGTTTAATTTTGGGAGGAGTCACTACTTTTTTTCATGACAATTGCACCAATTTACATTCCCACCAGTAGAGCAAAGGGGTTCCCATTTCTCCACATCCTCACCAGCACTGAGTATGTTCTGCTATTTGACAGTGGCCATTCCAATTGCTGGGGGGTGACATCCTTGTGGTTTTTATTTGCATTTCTCTAGTAATTAATGATGTCAAGCATCTCTTCATGTTCTTAGTGGCCATTTGTATATCTTTTTGGAGAACTGTCCCTTCAATTCCTTTGTCCATTTTTATTTTTACATTTAAGTTAATACTACCATCTGTACTTAGTAGTACACACTTTTTTTTTTTTTTGTAGATTTTTGCCACATGACACATGCGTTTGATGGAGAGACAGAAAGTGAAAAATCACTCCCTAGGTGGCATGGTCACAATGCAGTTCCTTCTCCTCTATTCCCCTCTTAGGATTTTGGACATACATACACATGTATGCCAGCAGTGATTTTCAAGCTGCCTGGTCTAGGACTCAAACTACATGGATGATCATGTGGAATTCAGCTGCCTTAACCAACATGCCTCCTGC